CTTGCCACAAAAGTAAAACGGAGAATTAAGGGAATTATTTCAATACCTTCTGCTAAAATTTTGAATAATTTAGCTGATGGCTATAATTTCATTTTCTACAGTGTCAATTTCAGCTTAATGCCTATCCTATAACAATTGTTTTTCTTTTTTTTTTAAAAGATATTTTATTGATTTTTGTACAGAGAGGGAGAGAGATAGTTAGAAACATTGATGAGAGTCATTGATCAGCTGCCTCTTGCACACCCCCTACTGGGGATATGCCCCCAACCAAGGTACATGCCCTTGACCGGAATCGAACCCGGGGCCCTCCAGTCCCCAAGCCGATGCTCTATCCATTGAGCCAAACCGGTCCCGGCTGTTTTTCTTTTTGAATAAATATTTCAAAGACAATCATGGGATAAGGAGTGCATACTTGTGTCACAGAATAAAGATTAAGTACAATATGTTTCCTCACCATTTGTTTGGGTTAATTCCGAAATTAATTTTTGACATATAGCACTACTGGAAAATCAGAATTTGTCATATTATTTTTAAATTTAATTCTGTTAAACTGAATGGAATGGAAACTTCCCAACTAATAGTGAAGCTCTGCCCTTGTAGCTCAGAAACAGCCGTAACAATGTGTAAATGAATGTGCTGTGTTCCAATAAAACTTTATTTATAGACATGGGAATGTGAATTTTATTTCATTTTCATGTGTCAGAAAATAGCATATTTTCTTCTTAAATGTACAAACCATTCTTATCTGACAGGTCATACACAAAAAGAGGTGGGCCAGATTGGGTTCATGGGCCAGTTTGCTGACCCTTGACCCAGCAGAACTGAGAAATTTCAAATATTCACCACTGTCCTTTGGTTAGGTATAGGAAACTAAAGGACCATTGGTTCACAGAAGTAAGATGAGGTATACCAGACAGGGGGTGAAACTTTCTTGTTTTAATGATTTCTAGAGACTGGCTATGGCCAGATAAGTCTAGCATTGTGTCCCCCACCACTCCCCGATGCACTGGATTCTTAATGCATGATGGCTTTCGTCAAGGGCCCACATGTTTTGAATGAAAAAAACACCTGCTTACAGCGCTAACCAGCCTCAAAGGCAGAACGCATAGCTAATCGAATCTTTCCATCCAAGCAGGCTTTTCCGGTAGTGAAACTGAAAAGGCAGTAGCATGTGCTGATGAGTCTTCTCACATTTATACTTAAGGACACGACATGGTGACCGCACCAGGGAATTCCACACTCTGAGTGGAAACCAGCGGGCTCCCGGGTTGGGGAGTCTCTCAGGAGCGTTTCATGGAGTGAGGCCATAATTACCGCTGATGGAATCCTAGTTGTTTAAGTGGGTTTTAAATCCTGTTTTTAAAACTTGTTTAGGAAGTAACAGAAAGAAGAACCTGTATTTTCGTAGGACTTTTGCAACACCTACAGCATCAGCATCATCAACATCCTCACGATGGCTCTTCTGTTTTGAGGAGTGGTGTCTGGAGCAGTGCTGGGTAGTTTAAACCCTACAGCAATCCTTTGGGATCTGCTCAGCCCCATTTTACAGTTAGAGGTTCAGAGAGACTCTGGGTTATAAACACAGGTATGAATGATTCTAAGACTTTAACCACTCCACTAACTCTCTGCTAATTTATCCTCCCAATTATTTTGTGAAGCCAGAAATTTTCATTTTAATGAGCAGCGTGTCAGAGATACTGAACGCCTTGCCTGAATTGGATCATGTTACCGTCTTATGACTGCAAGCCCAATATGGACAATTCTTTATGATGAAAACAATATGATCAAGATGGTTTTAGGGTTAGGAACAAGAAGACATAATAACTCTAATATTCATGCCTCTAACTTTGCTCATTTGCAAAAAGAAAATTCACAAAATTCTTAAGAAGGTCCTTTATAGACTTTGGATATTAACTCCTTATTATATAAGTGATTTGTAAATATTTCCTCGCATACTCTAGGTTGCCTTTTCATTTTGTTGATGGTTTTCTTTGCCATACAGTAACTTTTTAGTTTGATGTAGTCCCGCTTGCTTATTTTTGCTTTTGGTGTAAAAAAAAAAAAAAAGGTCAAGAATGAAGCCAAGGAGCAAGCCTCCTGCTTTCTTCTGGGAATTTTGTGATTTCAGGTATTATGTCTAGGTCTTTAATCTATTTTGAGTTGATTATTTTTTGATATGGTGTAAGATAGTGGTCCAGCTATTCAGTTTTACCACCAGCATTTATTGAAGAGACAATCCTTTCCCATTATATTGTTGACTTCTTTGCCAAAAATTCACCATATCTGTGTGTTTTATTTTTGAGCTCTTATTTTGTTCCATTTTTAAGTGTCTGTTTTTATACCAATAGTATAATTTAATTTTGATTACTATAGCCTTGTAGTACTTTCAAGTTAGTAACACTTTAACTGATTTTCTTTCTCAAGATTGATTTGCCTATTTAGGGTCTTTTGTGGTTCCATACAAATTTTAGAATTGCTTGCTTTATTTCTCTGAAGAATGCCATTGGAATTGTGATAGGGTTTGTACTGAATCTGTATATTGCTTTGTGTAGTATGAAATATCTTGAGCATGGAATATCTTTCCATGTATTTGTGTCTTTTAGTTTCCAGTGTATAGATCTTTCACCTCTTTGGTTAAATTTAGTTCGGGGCTCTGGTCGGTGTGGTTCAGTTGGTTGAGCATCATCCCAGCATTGAGAGGTTGCAGGTTGGATTCCTGGTCAGGGCACATGCCCAGGTTGCAGGCCTGATCCCCAGCAGGTGTGCAAGAGGCAGCAGATCACTCATCTTTGTTTCTCTCTTGCCCTTCCCCTCTTAAATTAATAAAAACATATTTTAAAAAAAATTAAACCCATGGACATGGACAATAGTGTGGTGAAGGCCTGGGGATGGGCAGGGTCAGGGAGGAGGGGGTCAATGGGAAAAAAATGGGACATATGTTATATTTTCTTTAAAAAAATATTTTATTAATTTTTTACAGAGGGAGAGAGGGATAATTAGAAACACCAATGAGAAACATTGATCAGCTGCCTCCTGCACGTCCCCTACTGGGGACGTGCCCGCAACCTTGACTAAAATCGAACCTGGGACCTTTCAGTCAGCAGGCTAACGCTTTATCCACTGAGCCAAACCGGCTTTGGTTATATTTTCAATAAATTAAAAATTAGTCCCATATATTTTATTCTTTTTGATGGAATTGTAAATGAGCTTATCATCTTCATTTTCCTGACAGTTTATTATTGTATACAAAGACGACTGCTTTTTATGTATTGAAATTGTATCCTGTAACTTCACTGAATGTTTATTAGTTTTAACAGCTTTTTTGTGGAGCCTTTAGGATTTTCTATTTATATTACGACACCTGCAAATATAGTTTCACTTCTTCCTTTCTGATTTGAATGCCTTTTAATTCTCTTGCTTAATTGTTCTGGCTAGGACTTCCAGTACTATGTTGAATAAAAATGGTTAGACTGGGTATCCTTGGCTTTTTTCTGGTCTAGAGGGAAAGATTTCAGATTTTCACTGTTGGATTTGATGTTAGCTGTGGGCTTGTCATATATGGCCTTTATCATGTTGAGACACATTTCAATATCCAGTTTGTTTTTATCATGAAAACCTTCTTTGGTCTCTCATATTTCCTTAATAATAATAATAATAAATACTAGCTACACTTTACTACATGCCAGATACACAGGGCACTTTACAAACATTAATTCTGATTCTCATTATCATCCCATGTGTGTACATGTTACTAGTATGTCTTTCAGATGGACAAACTGAGACACAGCAAAGGAGACTCCGTTTGTAGACTCACCTCTATCCTCGTAGATCTAAGGCACAGAAGATCCCATTTGTTAAACCTCATTTGCAGAAGAGCACAGTAATTCTGGACAGAGTTCATGGGTTCCAATTTCAGCTACACTTAATTGCTCTTTAAACTTGGAGAAATTAGTTTTCCAGTACTTCAGTTTTTTTTTTTTTTGATCTGTAAACTCTTTTGATTTTGTTCACTTGGGATTTAAATTGTTAAAATATATATCCATGTATATAAAAAGCCAGGGGCCCCCACGACCAAAACAACCAGATGGATGACTGAACAGACTGCGTGGGGCGACCAGGTCAGCGGGGGGGGGGGGGGGGGGGGGCAGTGAGGGGAGCCTAGGCTGATGGGGGGCAGTTAGGGGTAACCAGGCCAGTGGCAGGGGGGCAGTTGGGGGCGATCAGGCCCACAAGCAGAGGCAATTAGGGGTGATCAGGCTGGCGGGCAGATTAGGAGCCAGCGGTTCAGGATTAGTATGAAGGGTCCCGGACTAGAGAGGGTGCAGGAGGAGCTGAGCAGACCTTCCCCCCCATGCACCAATTTTGTTCATTTTATAAAAATGGCTTTAAAAGGTTTAACGAGCTAAGAGTTGGACTAAAACAAGGACTGCTAGCTTCTTCACTTGTTTTATCCTAAGTAGTTCTAGGGGATTCACTTTTTATCCATTTTGCATATTTGGCTTCTTGGTCAGATTTGATTTAAATGCAGGATTGCGTAATACATTTTTTTTTTGAGCACTAATAATCTATAAATCAGTTACATCTACGTTCAGAAAGACTAATTTAAATATTAATAACATACAAATAGGAAAATGAATTGTGGAAAGTGTCTGCACAAAAGGTTAACTGACAAAAACAAGTGCTAGTAAGGTCACATTTGAGTTCTAGAGGCCACAGGTAGAACTGTTCATGTCTAATGCCTACATTAATTAAAAAATGGTGACATGTTTATGATATATACATTAATGCTACCTGATGAAAAATTATAAAAACAGAACATTGACAGATTTTGATGTTGCAAAAAGAAAAGAAAAAAAAATTAATTTAATCTTTAATGACTGTGCAGTTGCTACGGTATTGCAAGGTAACCAGGCCTACATTGTAAAATTTCAAGAGACTAAAATTAGTATTGCTTCTTTATTCTCCAATAAAGGTGTTTTTGACTTAACAGTTATTTTGCCCCCCAGTATTTATTAGAAATTCCCCCAATTTATTCCAATTCCTCCAGCTCCATCCTAGCTAGCCCAAACCATGTTTTGTTTAATGCTTAACACACTCATCTTATTAAAAGATAAAGGTCTTGGATCCCCAATAGCCAGAAAGTCCTGTCTCTTTAACTACTTGAAAAAATTAATGAATACCATTTGTAGATGAATAACAAAGGAACACATATTCTTCCTCCTTTCTTTGCCATTTTAATAGAAAAAAAATATAAAGCTTATTACAAAATATATTTCACATTCTTTTTGTAATAGAAATTTTAAAGACATCAACTTTATAAAATAAAAGCAAATTCTAAGTGGAGCAAAGCCATGAAAACAAGAAAGTTCTGGAAAAAGATTGCGATAAATGTATTTATATTCTGGGAGTGGATAAGATCTTTCTGAAGGGCATAAACCCAAATGCAGCAAAGAAAAAAGACTGATAAAATTGAAAACTTTATGAATAGCAAAAAATAAAAAATTAATAAAAGATAGGAGCAGTCAGTTTAAAAGGGGAAAACTATTTTAAAAAGACCAAATGTATGAAAATATTATCAAATTTCATTCATAATTATGGAAACACAAACAGTAAGATACCATTTTTCTGACACAGATGGTGGCAAAAATTAAAGTGTTTGATGATGTCCAGAGCTGGGGAAATAGAAGAAAACATACACTAATCGCAACACAGAACAGTTGATAATTGCAAAAAAACCTCAAAAACAGCCCAAGTTTCCATCAACAGAAAATTATAGTTTATCCAGAAGATAAAATACAGGATGGCTAATAAAAAGAACAAGGTAGAGCAGTATGCATGTACTGACATACAGGCATCCAGGATATACTAGTGAAAAATATAGAAAAAAAAAAAAAAAAGTGGCAAAGGGGGTGGGGAAGGGAAAGGGCAGTGCATCAATTAGGGGAAAAAGGTGTATCAGAGTCTATTATAATTCCTTTCTGTCCTCCAAAGGAATTTAAAATACTGTTCTCTTTAGATGGATGAAGGAAGGGTAGTGGGACACACACACAAAGATATTAAACCAAAATATATAAAATATTAAAAAAAACATAGGCACATATATATATACACACATACACACACACACACACATGCTGACATTGGGTATAAGAGAAAGCCTACCTTTTCTCTATCAGACACTTACTATACTAATCTACATTAAGAGTAAAATGCAAATTGACTGTACCTTCATGACGACACCCACCAGCTAAACCAGAGTGACTATGCAAATTCACCAACAAAGATGGAGGGTTAATTTGCATGAGCAGGCGCTAAGCATTGAGCATTCTGCAGCGCCCCATCCCCTCCAGACCGGAGCAAAAAGGCGGCTCCGGCCGGAGTGAAGGCGGTGCCAGCAGCCAGGAGAAGGAAGGCCGGTTCTTGCACGAATCTTCGTGCATCTGGCCTGTAGTGTATAATACACAGTTAATATTACTTAAAGATCTCTAAGTACTTCATTAATATTCACTAATCTTCTGTAACTTTCCATTTTATATGGTGATATAAGACTAGGGGTTTAATAGATCAGTGAATAGAGAAAGAAATTTCAATTGTTTCTGAATAATGTTCTGACTGCTCCGTGATCTTTCTGTCCTTGTACCATCTCACAGTTATGATTCAGGGACTGGTTTTCGAATCAGGTTTCCAAAATAAGCAGTGATTGTCTTCAGTTTATTATTAAGAAAGTTTTGTTCTATTTCCACTTGCCCTCCAGGCCCAGCTAAGGATGCCACCTAAAAAAAAAAAAAAAAAAAAAAAAGGAACAAAAGAAAGTCACATATACACAAACATGATTTCAAAATAAATCATTCATATATTTCATCAAATAGTAAGATGACTTGGCTTTTTATTTAAGTCCTTTAAATAATGAGGCATCTCAAATGTTCACTCTTACTTTCCAGGTATTAATGCACTATTTATTGGTAGAAACACCTGTTGCTTCAGACACTGTGATATTATGTGAAAGATCACATGGTATGTTGATTGACCCAATCTCTCCAATTGCAGAACGTAAGAACTCAGAGAAAGAGAAAACAAACATGCCCTCCTCGAATATCAGGTTTATTAAGATAGAAATTTAAAGAGTAAATCACTTTTCTGAACACTTTTGTCCTGTTCACTTTATCTTTGGCATCTTTCCCTCTCATTCATTCAATAATATTTACTGAGAGCCTGCAACATGATACTAGGAATAATCCACCAGAGAGCAAGACAGATATACTCCCACAAGTTCTAGTCTTTGCTACTACCTTTTCCTTCTCTAATTGGTCTCTTGCTTTTCTTCCAACCTGGGACATCTCTTTAACCTTTGTGTGTGTGTGTGTGTGTGTGTGTGTGTGTGTATGGTTTTACTCCCTCTCCTTTTTATTGGGGTAAATAGATTGCTCTTTTTGAGACCTACTGGAATATAGTGCTTGAGTTTGAAAGTGAAAGTTTAGATAACAAGAGATATATGTCCTGGAATAACCCTCAAACAGATAAAGGTAATAGGGGATCTAGAAAGATATTTTACTAGATACAAAAAAGAACTAGACTCATCTCCTATATGGAAATGCATCCATACTCAGTGTAACCTCCCTACATATTATCCAGGGTACAAATCTCCCTGCATGGGAAATTAATGGTCTTGATAGACATTTCTATGGAGAAAATGCAGCCTGAATTTTAAACAGCAGACACATAAGCTTTGATACCTGGCCCAATTTTAAATTTAGGTTGTTGTGAAATTCTAAATTTTCCTTAACAAAAAGTTGACTTTTCTGTATCTCTGCTCTCTCAATCTTGTAGTAATGTTTCTTCTCTTATTAAAAAAATACATATAGTTTCTTCATTTAAAAAAGAAAAGTTAATTTCCCACTGTAATTTGACCCAAATTCAGTACCAAATAATATAATGCTCAAGTTTCCTTTTTTACTTTTATTATTTGTCTAGTGTCATTACTCCCTCTAGAGGTAGGAAACGTGAATGACCTACCAACCATAATTCTGGCAGGCTTTTGGAAGTAAATGAAAAATACCAGTTTAAGAGAAAAAGGTAACTTCTGGGTTAGTGTTAATTTAGAAAAAAGTTTACTTACTGTAACTTTTATAAGAAACAGTCAATTTCCTATTGTCATTCAAGTATCCAAATCAGCCCATCTAATATTTAATTTAAAAATCACATAACCTCTTATGAGACTAGTTATAGAGCATAATATTTACATGAGAAAAAGGAGAATTATGGAATCAATGGGTTCAACCTTCTCTGAGAATCTAGAATGCAGGCCTGAGTCACAGATATGAGTAGCAGATATTATTAGGTTTAATATCAAATTTGTTATAAAAGTGCACGCAGCAAGGAACAGTGCTTTTTCTTGTAACTGGTATGGCATAGAGTATTTGAGAGGCCTAATGTGTACCCACACTGGCTCATATATAGATGACAGGCTGCAAGATCTAATTTCATGTTCTAATCCACAGAGTAAGAGCTCAGGCTTGTTAACTTTTATTTACTCTTCTCTTAACCCAGAGAATCTCAACTCTGGGAGCACATTACAATCACTCGGGGAGTTTTAAAGAATGTATGCTTGGGTCTCATCCCAGAAAATAAATTAGAGAGACTCTTTCCCAGTGGATCAGGTTATCAGTAGTTTTAAAAAGCTACTTAGCTAAAACTGTAAAACTTCTAGAAGAAATCAACAATGAATTTGACAAGGATTTCTTGGATAAGACATCAAAAGCACAGGCAATACACAGATAAAAGAGAACTTCCTCAAAATCAAAAAGTTTTGAGAGACAAAGAACACTATCAAGAGAATAAAAAGGCACCCTATGGAATAGGAGAAAATATTGGCAAAGCATGTATCCCGATTAGGGATTAACATCCAGAATGCATGCACATGAAAAGATGGTCAACATCACTAGTCACTAGGGAAATGCAAGTCAAAAGCACAAGGAGATAACATTTCATGTGCATTAGGATGGCCATTAGCAAACAATCACCACCAGAAAATAACAAGTATTAGCAAGAGTGTGGAGAAGTTGGGTCCCTTTTGAATCGCTGGTGGGAATGTGCATATCTGAAGAATGAACTAGCTAGCTGGAAGACCAGATTGAGGTAATCTCTCAAAAAGAAAAAGGAGACAGAACACTAGAAAAATATAGCTGATGTCCCAGAAAAAGAAAACAAGATGGTAAGGAGAATATAGTTGAACAACTAAAGAGATCATTTCTCTATAATAAGATGAAAAAGCTCAGATTGATAGTATCAGTTATCAGAGTATCAAATAGGAGAGAAAAGAACAAACCCATACCTAGCAACATTGTAGTAAAATTTAAAATATGAAAGACAAAAGATTTAACAGATGTATAGCACAAGGCAGTATGTAGTAAGTGTTTATTAAAAATTCAACAAAAGCATGAAATAAAGATTTCATCAGATCTTTATGAAGCAGTTATACTAGATCCAATTCTATTAGGGGGAAAAACACACGATTAAGATAAATGCTTATGGTAAGAACTGAATAAAGACATTTTAATGTTAGTCAAGTGTCCTATCTTCCAAAACAGTAGTTGAAATGATCCTGGCCAAATTAAGATTTTATCTGTCTATATTTCTATTTAGGTGACTATTTTTAGGAACACCTGAAATTTCTATTCTCAAGGTATATCAGTAGAGACAGATCGTGACTAATTTAGGTGTGCACATATGAACACAACACATTTAGTCATTCTTTCAGGACATATAATTAAAAGCCCAGCATGCTGTTTCTGTGTATGTATGACAGGAACAGTGGAGGAGAGAATGATACAGGTATGAATTTAACTGGCAAACACTCCCAGTTTTCTAGTAATAGGAAAAACGTCAGTGACTTCTTATAAACACATTCTCAATTAAAGCAAGTCGTTGGATCTTTTCTTTTTTTTTATCCATTCTTTTGTAACAGTTATGCCAAAGGCTCATAGAAGTTTTTCAGTAATGGCTTACCTGGTCAATATCAGCATTTCTTGGAAGAAAATAAACAATGTTATTAGTGATCTTCTGAGAAAGTCTGAAAATTTCAAAGGTGAACAACAGTTAAGGAAGAGTGACAGAAACAACAGTTAATTTCTGACCAGAGATTAAGTTCTTCAATTATAACCCAAATGTGTTTTAATATGTAATAGCAAGGCACATATTTAATCCTCTAATAAAGCCTAAGAGAATTAAGTAGCTGATTTTGTAACTCAGTAGCACACTGTTCTTGATAGATCAGAGGTTAAAAAAATGGCTTTTAAAGAGAGAAAGGGGGAAGGAGAGAAAGAAAAACAGAGATGAGAGAAACATCGATCAGTTGCTTCCTGCATGCGTTCTGACCGGGGATTGAACCCACAACCTGGGTAAGTACACTGACTAGGAATTGAACCCACCAGCTTCCAGTGTATGGGACGACACTCCAACCAACTGAACCACATGGCCCAGGGCTCATTTTTTAACCCTCACCCAAGGATATATATATTTTTTTTAAAGAGAGAAAGGGGACGGGGAAAGAGAAACATGGGTTGCCTCCTGTACACACTGTGATGGGAGACCAAAGCTTCATCCTAGGAATGTGCCCTTATTGGGAATCGAACCTGCAACCTTTTCTATTATTTTTTTTTAGTGGAGGGGACAACATTCCAACCAACTGAGACACTCCCAGCTAGGGCAGAAGTTAAACCCATTTTTCATTTATCCTAGCAACAAAGTCAGAAAATACACAACACTCTTTCTCTTCCTGTCCTTCCCTAGTTAATGTACAAACAGAACAGAAAAGCACCATACCATCTCCTTCCAGTAACAAGACAAATAACTGCTCATGTAGTCCACATTCTAAACTTCAATTAGCAATTTAGGAACATGTGTCCTGTTAAGAGTTCCTCTGGGGAACAGAGATAAAGGGAAAAATAATATAAATGCTATTCTTTATGAAATAAGAGCTTGCTTCACTATTTGGAAGAGTAACAGAACAATGCGAAGACACACAGAGAATTAGAAAAAGTGTGAGTGGAAGAATAGCTAAGGGATAGTCGCCCAGACTTTAGGGACAGGTCTCCAGGAAATTCCCAATTTCCAGACTGTACTTCCAAGTAATCAATGCTCTCTAGCTCTTGTTTTGTAACAGTAACAGTGGAGAGTTAACCAAAGGAATATACTTCACATTTGCTATAACTTTTGGGGATCCATCACCAGTTAACTTTTACACACCTGCTTTTTATGGAAAACAAAGTAGAACCTATTAAATGCTATTAGCTTTTCTCCTCTTCATAAATGTCTTTCTCAAATGCACACACACCCCTTCCTCTCCACAACCACTGTGTGAGTCAACTCTTAGGACTTTCAAAGGATATCCATCAGGAGACATCATTGTCCTGATGTCAAAGGTCTCCGCAGTCGCGTAGTCTGGGCCTCCCCACGGGGGGCTGAGGAACACCACGTCGGCCTTTAGCTGAGGAGCCAGCAGCAGGAAGTCGCCACAGATGAACTCGACTTTGTCTGCTATCCCATACACTTCTGCATTGTTGCGAGCAAGATCAATCTTCACAGGATCAATATCAATGGCAATCACTAAAAATGGGATCAGGAACGATGAGTCAAATGATATTAATTAGCAGTTAGTATTAGTAGAATACTTCATCTTCTGACCAGTGTATTTATTTAATGTACAAGAATATTTTTTTACAGACTAACCGAGGTTTGGCCTCATATACTAGATAGTTGCCACTAAGTAAGTACGTACTGGAGCCAAAAAGGTGGTCAGCACTGTGTTATGGGTGAGGTGCAGGCTGAGTGGCAAACACTTGGAAAGTTATATGAGAGAAACATCGGTCAGTTGCTTCCTGCATGCGTTCTGACTGGGAATTGAACCCACAACCTGGGTAAGAACACTGACTAGGAATTGAATCCACCAGCTTCCAGTGTATGAGATGACACTCCTACTGAGCCACATGGGCCAGGGTCCATTTTCTAACCCTCACCCAAAGATATATTTTTTTTTTTTTTTTTTAAAGAGAGAAAGGGGATGAGGGAAGAGAAACATGGGTTGCCTCCTGTACAAACTGTGATGGGAGGACAAACAGAGAATTAGCTAGGAAAGCATATGATTCTGACAGTATATAAAGCCTATAAATGCCAAGATTTCATAAAAGACCAAATCTCCTCAAAATGAGGCAAATTTGACAGCTTCTACAGAAAAGCAAAATAAAACAAATGTTGGCAAATCTTTTTTATCAACTTAAGAAAGGTAAGAAAGTCTGCTGATGTTTAATGGGGCATTTTAGGTAGAAGGAACAGGCAACCTCATGTTTTCATCAAATCGGCTTTCACTTAATTGACTGCAATTTCATAATTAGCAATGCAAATATAAAAGTTAAATTTAGCTCACTTACATCTTGTAGTGAGTGCACATATGCGTGCAGCAGTGGTACTGTTTGGTATCTGGAAGGGCTAAGTGGAAGCCTGATGCATACACCATGGTCATGAAGGAAACAGCTGTTTTCCAGAACATGGTGATTTCAAAATTTATTAACACTTTTGAGAAAGAATGCACTTGAACAATGAATACAAGCACAAATTATATCTTGCAAAATCCTGCATCTATATGCTATTTTTTCCTGTTCCATATAAACATTCATATTTATAAGGAAAAAGATAAAAACGTCCTTTTCAGCTGCTCAATCTCCTGCACTGATAGTAGAGACAGATGGAGAGATATGCTGATGACACCAAAAATTCCACAGAAAAAATAACTTTGAACATCAAATATATTAATTAATATTCATGTTTTTATGATTTCCCTTGAAGGCAGACTTTATTTTCAGGCCTAACAGAATGCAAGCATGCAATATGCTCACATAACTGAAATGCTGGCAAATGTTGGATGATACTGTACAGAACTGCACTGTCGAACAAAGGTAGCCACCAGCCACGTGTGGCTATTACCTTTAAATTATTAAAATTAAATAATATTAAGAAGTTAGATCCTCAGTCACAATGCCACATTTCAAATGCTCAATAGCGACTTGTGACTAATGGCTACCACAGTAGGACAGTGCAGACATAGAACATTTCCATTGTCACAGAAAATCCTTTTGGGCAGCACCGATACGGAACTACTGAAAAGGGAAAAAGAAATCTTTAAGAAACAGCAAAATACAAAACTTTAAGAATTCTCTAAGTTTAGAATGTAGACTCATGAACAGTTATTTGTCTTTACTTGTTACTAGAAAGAGGTGGTATTGTGCTTTCCTGTTGTGTTTGTACATTAATGAGGAAATGAAGCATTCAGTTGGGTATATGCTCAGAGAGCAACTACCTGAGGGAAGACAGGGGTAGTAAGGGTAGATGGTGAATTCAGGGAAAACAAGAAAATAATAACTATTCTAGTAAACAGGAAAACAGCTTTCTCTTAGGAGACAAATGTCTGGAGCACAGGAGTGATTGCATAAGGGCCACAGTTCACCAGCACTCGTCTTAAAAACCAATGCTGTTTCATTTAATCACTTCCTAGAGTTTATACTATCCTTTTCAGAATCATTGGTTTCCTAGTTAACGTTAAAAACTTTATGTAAGTTAATGAGAATCAACTGAAATGGACTAAAATGGAAGCTATGTATAGAATATAAACATTGGGGTAGCCGGAAAGCATATTCAGAATATGACTTAAAATGTCACATTATTCTGCATTTAAAGTCCTGGCTTCAGGACTCAGCCATGTCAATGTGGGCAGACTGTTCAATTTTCCGAAGCCCCTCTCTTTTGAGAAACAGCACACATATTACCTACTCGACACAATGCCTGGCAGATAGATAGTAGTGGGGAGTTTCTTGTGATTCCAGAGTCAAGCTACCCTGAAGATGATCTAATATTGAAAAGATGTTTAGTCTCACAGAATGTTCAAGCTGAAAGGTAATCACAGAGGATATCTCACGGCATCTTTAAATTAAGGTTAAGTGATGTCCATAACAGTAGTGAATAGGATTCCCTTCTGCTCTTCTTCTAAAGAACAGTCTCCCCATTTTAATATTTTTATATAGTGTTATAATCTTGGCTCTACCAAACTTCATTTCTTTATTTCTGTTTATCTGTGAAAGGCAGATAGTAAAAGATACACTTCACAAGATTGTTGACTAAATAAATTAACACACACTAAGCACGTACACCTGTATGACACGAAGTGTATGCTTAATATGTGCTAGCTATTATTATTTTAAATATCTGGCATTAAATTATTTATATATTAAATGTCAGCAAAGATAAACTGAAGGAAAATGAAACGTTTACTGAATAAACTGAATATAATTTATTTTTCTTCCATTGATGGCTAATTACCTCTCTTTCCAGTTAAGGCAAATTGAATGGTATTTCCTCCGACTCCACAAAATGCATCTACGACAATGTCACACTCGAAGGACTGACTGACCCGGCCAGCAATGTGTTCAGCAATCTTCTCAGGTGTAACTGAGAACCAGCCCTCTGCGAAGAAAGAGTATTTCTGCTAAGATGTTCAATGTCAAGAAGCCGAGCCAAGCATAAACATAACTATCATTACTATATAATATATACTTAAAAAACCCCAGCCTTGTTTCTCTTTTCCAAAAACTATAAATAACCTACTTTTAAAGAACAGTTCTACAAAGCTTATTTAAAAAGGAACAGTAGCATTCCCATTCCCAAAGAAAGCAACTATTTTAATTCTGGCCTGATTCTTTGGTAAGGTATCACCAATAACTGAATGCAATTCCTATTATTTTTTAAAATATATTTTGATTTTCCACAGAGAGGAAGGAAGAGGGATAGAGAGCTAGAAATGTTGATGAGAGAGAATCATCGACCAGCTGCCTCCTGCACACCCCCTGGCTGGGATGTGCCCGCAACCAATGTACATGCCCCTGATCGGAATCGAACCTGGGACCTTTCAATCCACAGACTGATGCTCTATCCACTGAGCCAAACCGGTTTCGGCTGTAATTCCTATTTTTATGCCTGAAGAATTAACTACTGAATATCTGCTATGGAAAATGTAAAGTCAGCCATTCTAATTGGCCAACTACCCAGATTCCACAGAGTTTCCCAATGACTTCATTCCTAACGGGGAACCCATGAACCAGGCTTGTATTGGACAGTTTGGAAAAATTCAAACATTTCTAAAGGACCAGGAAAGGCAAGGAGCTGACAGCAAAATGCTGCAAAGCTGCAGGAATAGCAGAACTCTCATAATTTTCAGAAATGAAGTCCCATGTCCTGTGACCAATCCAGAGGAAAGAGGATAATGCCCTCTTTTTTTTCCAAATAGGAGAAATTCGCATTTTTAAGGAAGATATTTCTGTAAACAAAATGATGCACCAATTTTCTGTTTCTTTTCTTTAGCAAAACTTTAAATGGCTCCTCATTGCCGGAATAATAAAAATATTAACTACTTTTACAGAATTAAAAGCTTTTATCTAGTCACATTTCTCCTAACAAACTCCTCTGCACTTTTTAAAATATGTAATTTTTTTTTATAAATAATTACAAGAGGTTCACAGACCCCTGAAATTCCACCAGTGATCAGGAATTCCTAATTTTGACAGTTAATGGACTCTTAATTTAAGTAGTTCTAAAATGAAAATAAACATCAATTTTCAGATTTGAGTTAAGTTAGTTGTTCAAAGGGCAGGAAAACTTGAAAAAGAATTCAAAGTTTCCAGTGTCAACTGATTCCATTACATGTTTCTGCACTAGGTATTTCTTCATTAGATGTTCTGTTTAATAATCTATCAATTCCTAAATATAGATTAAACCCGAGTCTGAAGTTTTAAAAACACAAATATACCCAAATTAAGAGACTTTTTGGACATTAACTGGCTGTTATTCTTTGGAAAACATCAAATTCCTGAAAGATTAAAAAACAGGCCAAGCAACTATTCCAGATTAAAGAAAAACCAAAGAAACATTAAATTAACTGCAATACATGACTCTACACTGGAAGGGGAAAAAAAAATGCTATAAAGACCATTAGTAAGAATAATGGACAAAACTGAAGTGTGGACTGTAGATTACAATTCTGTAACAATGTTAAATTTATAATTTTACCAGTGTTACATAAACATATCCTTTGTTCTTAGAAAATACACACTCAAGTATTAGGGAATAGGAGCAACTGGATTAGAAACACAAACACACCTACAAAATGATAAAGCAAATGTGGCAAAATGTTAAGAAACTTTTGAGCCTGGGTAAAGGGGATATAGAAATTTCCTGCTACTCCTACAACTTTTAGATAAGTTTAAAATTATTTCAAATTAAAGTTCAACATTATATATACTTTACCTTTGTCCAATTTAATCCCATCATCAAAACGGGAGAAGAGCCGGTACCTCTGGGCCCAGTATTTTGCTAGCTCAGGAACAGCAGCTATTTCAGGAGGTAGACTGATTACCTTCCTGTTCTTGTTTTTCTTTTTCTTCTTCTTTTTAATTTCAGCTACAATAAAAGAGTATAAAGAATAGAAATGCATACTGTGAAAGAAGGAAATAACAGGTGAATTTATCTACAAGTGCAGCACATCAAATAATCATAATGTGGGACTGAACTCCAGAACATGTGTGCAATCACACACCTGGAGAAGCAGAGGGCACAGTGGAAAGAGCACTGACGTTCGATTACAGCCTCTCATTTGCTACTTACTGGCTCCCCAAGCTTGGACAAGTAATGCAGGCTCTCAAAGCACCAACTTTTAATTTCTCAAAAGGAATAAATGACTGAGCAGTATTATATCTATTTGCTTCACAGGATTGTTAGGAGATATTATACTAATATAGGTATATAAGCTATTACATCTGTTAGGTAGGACTCTGCTTCATTGGTGAATTATAGAAATCCAAACATTTCCCTTCCCTTCTTTATGATAAAATTTCCCAAGGACCGATAAACTCCAACCCTCAGTTATCGATAGATCCATCCTCGGAACCCAGCCATGACCTAGAAATCATAGTGCCTCTGAGAAATTGAAACAGGGTCACTAGCTCCATCCAAAAACAAATGACCACTACGCACAACTGCTACAAAAATAACAAAATAAAAAAGAATGACCAAAACAAAAACCAGAGCAATACTAAATTTCAATAGGAATAAAACGGTATGGCCACCTAGAGGCCATGGGACAGTGAGTGGTAGAAACCAATCTGAATGGCATAGACATAGGTACTCAACCACAGTTTTGCCATATGCTTTACCTTCGATTTTACCATGCCTGTTCAGTCAAGAGGGAAATTAATTCTGGGTGCCAAACCATAGCCATTAGCACATTTACTTATCATGCCTTCTCTCAACTTAAAAATAAATAGCAGTGAATCCTTAGGTATAGATGACTCATAAGTGGAAAGAATATATTTAAATCCACCAGCAAGTTGAAGCATATTTACCCTTACCTTCCGTTTCCACCTGAGGAGAATCTGGTATATCCTGAGCCACACAATCCTCCTTATCTGTGACAGTGGCTCCGTTGCTGTCCCCTTCATTGTTTTCTGCCTCAAGTTCACCAGCTGAAGGTATGGCATGACCCTCAGCAGGTTCTGGATTGCTCATCTCCAGGGGCTTATCCTCCGTGGTAACAGACACTCCCTGCTCCTCTGAATCACTGCTTGTGCAAGCATCCTGCACATCATCATGAGAAACGGACTCCTGTGATGCTTCCTCATCCATTGGCTCATTAACCCATTTTAGAAATTTTTCTACCTGAAATTGTAAGATGTTAACAGGCTTGAACAATTACGATGACACAGAATATTTTTACCTGCTTTATTGTTTGTGACCTGATTGACAAGCTGCACTACAATTATTAGCACTGATAAGTACACTGCATCCTACAGCTAACGTAAGCAAGTAATTCCAAGCTAATTGCATTTTCTTGTCTGGACATACCATAACCTTATTAAAGATTTCTTTAAAAGGAAGAAAGTATCAGATCACATACAAGACTATGATCTTTCTATAATCCATTAACATTAAGAAGATAAAGTTGAACTTTTACAATAGCTTTCCAGAAAGACTTCTTTCTAACAACATAACTGTACTATGCGACGTTACCATTACAAATGTACCTGCCTATTGTTGAGTCACTAATTTTAGTGTTTCCGCAAGACCCAGGCTATTATCTATGCTAAGTGGTCTTCAGCAACAAAGATGAACACTAAAAAGATTTTGTGTCTATAAGAATAAAGGCAGTGCTATCTTGGAAAGGATGCGAACTGACTTTTACTGAAGCAGTAGAGTCAGTAAAATGATTCCTATAAATTAAGTTTCTTCTAGGAAATGTTAACAAGGTTTAAGGTCAGATGATATATACTTCCTTGTTATCTTCTGTAACAGAAACATTCTTCATAACAGATCTTTTATGACCTTCTAGTCAGGAAACTAGAACAAGAGTGGTAGACATGCCGAAACCGGTTTGGCTCAGTGGTGGAGCGTCGGTCTGCGGACTGAAAGGTCCCGGGTTCGATTCCGGTCAGGGGCATGTATTTGGTTGAGGGCACATCCCCGGTGGGGGATGTGCAGGAGGCAGCTGGTCGATGTTTCTCTCTCATCAATGTTTCTAGCTCTCTATCCCTCTCCTTCTCTCTGAAAAAAATCAATGTATTAAAAAACAAAACAAAACAAAACAAAAACAGCGGTAGACAGAAGATAGGCATAGACAACCCAGAATCTTCCTTTGAGAGGACTATGCCTATACGTCAATCAGATATCTAAGGATACAACAGCCCCTCCCCCACCCGCATCCCCAGAAGGTAAAATTTAGCAGTTATGTTTCTGCTCTTCATCTACAAATGAATACTAGTATATGGGGACTATCACATCTAATACATTAAAAAATTCCTATAGGATCAATTGAACCAATACTGGAAATCTGTTCCAGACATAACTAGGGTCACTAAAATATTAAAATATCACCAGCAGCCAAACAATCTGAAATACATTAAAAATAAAACCAGCTATAAAATTGTAGTATGTTTTGAAAGAATATAGAAATTAAGAAGGGTAATGTACAGAAGGGGAAAAACAAATATATGGGGGTCTAAGATTTTGTTCTGTTGACTTAAAAGAACTGCTGGAGATGTGGCTGATACAAGGTTCTGCTCAGTAGAAAGTGTTTCTTTCTTTTCTTTTTCTATAATGGGTAAGAATCACTCATCAAAACCAAGCAAAAGCAATTTTAATTACTTTTGTTTTCCAAATAGTTGGACAACAGGTACAGCAAATCCAAGACAGGGGATATGACTATTTTAGTTGACATTGGGAATCACCAGATTAACCTTGAGTCTCATGTCATTAGGATGAACTTGTTAGCACAACGTTTAATCGATCACCTTTAGGTGACCTCAAAATTAAGGATTACTATAAAAGGTGTATCAGACACTGGACTTCTGGGGTCCTACTTAGCCTAAAACAAATGAGCATTTCCATTGTCTGTTACTACATATACAGGCAATTTTACCTATTTATCTTCCCAGACTCTCTCTACTACTTTGTAGCTTTCAAAACATCGCCTTTTCATATTACCCCCAACTTAAAATCCTTTTCAAACTTATTTCACACAATACATGTCTTTAGAAAGCAAGTAGAAAAGAATCTCAGATGCCCTTATATCTGGTAGAAACAGGGTTCTCATTTTAAGAGCCAAGCTCACAAAATGAAATTTATTTACAGAAAATTTTATCTGTAAATAAAAAACAAAATCTATACATACCTTACTCAAAGTTTTGCTTTTCTTAAAACATGTTTTTTCTGTGTCTTCAGTAAAGAAAATGTGTTTATTTTTCAAATTTATTTGTCTTCTCATGTCCAAGAACTTTGACTTATATTTCACATTCTTCTGTAAATATCTGACCCGTCTATGACTGAAATGTGAAATTCCACCATATCTGGAACCAAATCAAAAGAAGTGGACTCAAATCTTAAGTTTTATGAGTTTGTTTCTTTATATTAAAAGAAAATAAAACTAACAACTTTCACTATTTTTTCTATTAGCAGCCACTACTGTAATTTCATTTTCCTAAATATGAAATAAAGTTTAAAATGCAGTTTAAGGTCGAGCTTTGTATGTATGTTAATTCTCAAGTAAATGTAAAACACCAAAGTTGGAAATATCAACAGATATTAAGTAGAGCAGAAAGCAGAAACTATGGAGTATAATGTAATAAAGAAATAGTAAAATGATAGGTCTTTAGTGTGCTTTAACTACTCAGTTCACTCTTCATGTCATAGGCAATAAACTCTTCAATTTCCTTATATTTAATGCTTGGGCATTTAATCCCAGAGAACACTAATACTTTTTGTACACAAAAGTTCAAAGCAGCTTTATTTGTAATCACAAAATACCACACATAATCCAAAAGTCTTTCAATAGATAATGGTTCAACAAACTATGGTACATTCATATAATGGCATACTGCTTAGCAATAAGAAGGAATGAACTATTAGTACATGCAACAAGCTGCGGGCACTTCAAAGGCATAAAGTAGATCTTAGGAAGCAACCTGACTATACATACAGGATGATCAATTAAACACAAGGCCCTACTGAAAGGACTAGGTAAATGTACTGATAAGGCAGGCTATTGATAGCACATTGTTTAGGGGGAAAAAGCAAGCTGCAGATTATGTATAGGATGATCTTTTTGTGTTTTATAAAAAGGGAGTAAGGTGTGTATATGTACATAATCATAAAAACATAACGTGAAAAACTAGAAAGGATATATGCCAACTATTATATCTCTGGGGAATGATTTGAAGAAGAGATTTTCACTCTTGTTACTTCTGTTTTGTTTGAGTTTCACTGCTTTCACAGTAAAAAAGAAAAATGGTAACTGCAGATTGGAACTTTTCATGGCATGTTTGCTACACAATGCAGATGTACACAGAGTTATGTGAGACACTAGATGAAGAGAGCCATGCTTACAATCTCAAGAGCTGGGCTACAACTCATTCTCTCCAAGAAATGATGTGACCGTGACTGAGTCAAAACCTACAAGCTGCAGTTGCTTTATTTATAAATTGGAATAACAACACTGGATTGCTTTGAAGTGCAACTGAGTTAATACATGTGACTACATCAAAGGTATGTTGATGACTATAATTCTTACAAACAAGAAAGGCTAGTGCTTTAGCTGCAACATCTCAAGTGATATAAGCTACATACTCATTATTAGCTATCTGAATATCAGAGAGCTTTAAGATAGACGAAGTGGTTAGGATTTAAGGACAGCAGCATTTATGTATAATTACTTTTGTCCGGAGCCATGGTTGAATCCTAGAAGGGAACCATTGTCATCACAGTCTGAATCTGGGTTTTCATCGATGTCCAGCTCATGGCTAATCAAATAAACAAAAGGTGATAAGCCATTATCTCCAGAGCCCACCCATTCAGGCAAATATCAAAAGCACATATAGTCAACCTATGCCAACTTTCCTTTTACAACTATCGACCATAATTCACAAACCCAGGAAAAGAGGAAAAACAGTATTTTAACCAGGATTTTCCAAATGAGAAAAAGTACCAAGCAGTATTTGGAACACAGTGATAAGCACTCAAAACTTAAACCCTGTCAAGTAATTATCTCTATTCCTGAACACGGCATCTCTCCATTTTCCTTTGAAAAAATACCAGTTAAAAGCTGCAGTCTTAAACTAATCTCCTATAGTGTTTCCTCCAGAGGTTTTTCTAAAAAACAAACAAGGAAACACTTGAAAAATATCAACCCAACCAAAAAATTACAAAAGAAAAAAAAAATATATTGTTAAGAAGAATCGGGTTGTGATACAAGTGGTATTAAGTAACTCAGGATCATCCATTTAGGGGAGACAATTCTAATACTCTCTACTACCTGAGCAACAGTAATGGTGAGAGATCATTCTTACAAATGAAATTATGCTCACTGAATATTTATGGAGGACCTACTAGGTTCCAGGAATATGAGTACACACAGTCTGCCTTCAGCAACTAACTATCAAGAACTAATGGAGGAATTAACATGCAATGTCTATCATGTAGAAGGAACAAAGAGAGGTATGCTTTTATGTACTCTAAAGTGTGCTTACTGTTTTTCTATTGTATGGAACACAGAAGTCTTCTGTGGAGCACTTCATATCCTGTCATAGGAATGCAATGTGCCCAGCTAACATCCAAATTCTATAATGTCCATCCTTTTCTTGTATTTCACAGCACTGGCATTTGACCATATTTTACCTGACATCATTCTCTACTTGTTTAATTACATGTATCAGTGGTACACTAGAAACAGTCCTGTCTTCGAAGATGGACTGGGCTCTAGTTTTGGAGCTGCCATTACCTCTACATAACTCCGGGCAAAGTATTTATCTTTGTCTAAGTATCCCTATCGATATAGAATGAGAGCACCAGATTTGATGTATCTGAGGAGCATTTTAGCAATAAAATCCTATATTTATTCCCAGACTTTTGGGGAAAAAACATTATAACTTCCTTAGAAAGATAGACTATACCTACTTATATATTAGTAGTTAATAGCTACCTTTCATGGATAGCTACTAATATATTAGTACTTGAGTTAGAGTTAGATAGCTATTAAGCTCAGGGATCAGGCCTAAACCGGCAGTTGGACATCCCTCTCACAATCCTGGATCACTGGCTCGTAATCGCTTACCTGCCTGCCTGATCACCCCTAACTCCTTGCCTCTGCCGACCTGATGGATCCTCACTACCTCTGCATGCCAGCCTGATCACTCCTAACTGACCCCCATGCCAGCCTGGTTGCCCCACGCAGCCTGCTGTTTAGTCGTTTGGTTGTTCCTTACCAACCCTCCTGCTAGCCTGGTTGTAGGCAGCCAACCTGTGAGGGTGTGATGGTCAATTTGCATATTACAACTTTATTATATAGGGTGTTATATGCTAGTTCCAGCTTCCCAATGATCTCACAGAAGAGGCATCAGTTCCACTCTATAGATAAGAAATTGTGGCAGAACTGAAGGGACAGAGTTGGGATTTGACCATGCTCCAAAGCCCAGGGTCTTATCTTTTCTCCTCATAGTGCTGAAATGTCCCAGCACTTGGTAACTCTCACTAGTGGAGAGAGTGGCTTATTCTAACACATTCCAGGAAAAAAGGTACCACGCAACTTGCCTCCTCTTGAGTTTGCTTGGCTGACGTTCAGGTGGATCTTCTTCACTCTCATCTCCATCAGTCTTGTTGGGAGGTGGTCTTTCTTGGATTGTGTCTGCTTCTGAAGACTTCTGTAAATCTAAAGAGGCAGATTATTACTGTGGATATCTCCCCTTAGTTTGACAACTCTCCTGCCATTTACAAAGGCAATCAAAATATTTCAGTGCCTTTCCTGCAATGAGCTGTGCATGTACATAAGACAAAGTGTCAGACCACATCTACCTATTCTGTGCATCTATATGCAGGATCTGAACATAAAAAAAAAATAAAATTGGAGCTATGTCTATTAATGCTATGTCTATTAATGTTTAAAAGTTTCCATGATTTAGCTACTTAAAAAGTGAAAACTACTTTTTCCTGATAGCTATCTAACTCTACACAAATTATTCCACAAAGTTACCTTTGTCATAGCTAATAGCTATCACATTTTGATGAAATTTTAATCTAAAAGACTTTAAAGATGTCATGATCACATTGATTAAAAAGTTCTCTTAAGAGATAAATACATTTAATTGTCTCTAACATAGCTCTTAAAGTAATAATGGAAGTAACAAAGATAAACACCACCACTTAAAAAGAGAATAACTTTTTGTGGCTCCAACTGAGGTACATGTCTGTCCTTGTTCTCTGGAACAAAATAGGGGGGCGAGAATAGAAGTGGAGAGGTGTCTGCAATGTAGACAGTGGGAAGCTTTGACTATGTGAGGACAGACTATTTTAGGAGAACACCCAACCACAAATAGCAGAAAACATCAAAAAATGCAATATGCAGGGTAGGGCAAAAGTAGGTTTACAATTGTGGGTACACAAAACACAGTTTATCATTTTATTATTTGTTAATTATTGTATTATTTTCCATATGAAGGACTAATAAGCCTACTTTTGCCTCACCCTGTTTACTTTATGTTTTGATCTCAAGCCCGTATGTAAAACAAATTAAAATCTAGAATTCTTAATTTGATCCTGATGGCCATCACACTGGAGCTAATTACAGAAATGGGCAATTAAATACATAGGGAACGGGTAATAGAAATGGTCAATTTATACACATAGTTTAGGAAACAGGTAAGAGAAGGCAGAATCTGTGAGGTTTGAAGACTATTAAAGATTAATATAAGATAATCACATAAAAAGGATAACAACAGCAAAATCGAAAGGAATGAGAATATTCACTAAAATTAAGCTTCATTTCAAGAGTACAGAGAAAATCAATCAATCAATCAATCAATCAATCAATCAATCGGGTTCTTTAGTAACTCTCATCTGGATGAAGATCAGTGACCTGGGATGAACAAAGCAGGTCATTTAGGAATAAGTATGAGAAGGAAATCCCTATGAACCAGACTTTTTTGGTACCAAACATCAAGGATGCCAAGATAACACAAAAGTTATAAAAATTTCCACTTTCCCGGTGCCATCAATTGGTAGCACCCTTCTCTCTACCAAGAGCATTCTTACCCACCTTATTGTAACTTTTTTTTTTTTTTTTTTAACACACTCCTTTTACTGGCTTTCTTTAGTCCTTACAGTAGCACCAGTCTGCATGAGGATGAAATTTTTTTTTTTTAAATCACTTAGGCAGGAAACAACCAAGTTCCGTATCCTGAATATTTTGAGTCCTGAAATCAACCCTTCTAGTTATAAATGAACACCATGCCCTGTTTAAATTATCTTTCTAGCAAGACTTCATTATCCAAACTAAATTCCAGATATGACTCTTATTCAGATTGGCCTAATGTCAAACATGTGCTCTCAACTGCTCTTTTTTAAAATATATTTTATTGATTAAAAAATATATATATATTTTATTGATTTTTTACAAAGAGGAAGGGAGAGAGCTAGAGAGCTAGAAACGTCGATGAGAGAGAAACATCGACCAGCTGCCTCCTGCACACCCTCTACCAGGAATGTGCCCGCAACCAAGGTACATGCCCTTGACCGGAATCGAACCTGGGACCTTTCAGTCTGCAGATCGACCCTCTAACCACTGAGCCAAACCGGTTTTGGCTCAACCACTCTTTAACATGCCTCAGAAACTCATTTGTTCTAGAGAAACTTGGACATTCCAAGCTCACTCTAAATTAGAGTTCTAATTTAATTAAAAAGGAATTTCCAAGTTTTAATTCACTGCCACCAGGTATAAGAGAAAGGAGTGATACTTCTGAGAACTCTCTGAAAATATTCTTTTTTTATTTAAATAAAAGGGTAATAAACAATTTATATAAAAGGGATATAAAAATAAGATGGACCAATTTCAGTACACTATAAAATGTAGTTTGCTCTACTTAACTCAACCATAAAGGATTAGTGTTATTTTTCTTGATAGGTTCATTTAGTTAACTGTTATTTATTTACTTTTTAAAAATATATTTTATTGATTTTTTTACAGAGAAGGATAGAGAATTCGAAATATTGATGAGAGAGGAACATCAATCAGCCACCTCCTGCACACTTCTTACTGGGGATGTCCCCGCAACCAAGGCACATGCTCTTGACTGGAATCGAACCTGGGACTTTCAGTCCACAGGCCGATGCTCTATCCACTGAGCCAAACAGGTTAGGGCATTAACTGTTATTTAGTAGGATAAATCTTGGTCAGTCTTACCTTGAGCTGGCTGATCCGCGCAGTTGCCTGACAAGTTGCTTTCCTTGGTTCCTCCATTACACGGTTCACTTTGGCCTGAAGAAGGGCATTCTCTTCTGCTGTTACCTTCACTTGGCCACTGATGGCCATGAGTACTTACAGATGACTCTAACTGCCTCTCTTCTAGTTCCCCTGAATTCAGACTTATATTACTAACGCCATCAAGTAGTTCATTAGGATCTTTTTCACTTGAATTAGAGCTTTTACAACCTATTGATGAAGATAGAAGAGAAAGTAAGTCTGCTTTCATGCAATTTTCATCTTTCTCGTTGTCAACTTCTGTATTAAAGCCACACATACTTGTACCACAGCTTTGTGAGGCATCAAAAGTCCAACCCTGAGCCTCCCAATACTTGAATTGTTCCAAATAATACCAATAAACTTGACTATAATGTTGTTCCCATTCTTCCTTGGTATCAGGAACGTTCCAAGGTTCGGGACACAGTGTTTGATCTGAATGTTTTTCTTGCCAGCTTTGCCATAGTAGCCCTCCGCCATATTCATTCCAGTACTTTTCCCATTTCTCTGTAATTTCTAGCTTTGGAGATGATGTGTTTTCAATAGAAAGGCTTTCAGTTTCAATGTCTTTTTTGGGTTGAAGTTCATGTGTTCTGGTATTCTCATCCTGTTCGACTGAAGATGGATCATCTGAGGCCAAAACGTCATCTTCTTCATCTTCTGGTCCCAAATATTCTCTTATCATCTCATCTAAGTACTTCTTTTGAGGTTTTTTCTTTTTCTTCTTTATTTTAATCTTATTTCTGGTATTCATGGACACCTGCATAGGATAAATAACTTGAATACAAAATCCACTTCATAAACTAAAGGAGAAAGTACAATCCAAATCTATTTGGACATTAAATTAAACAAAATAACTTCAATCTCTGCACCCCTCCACACCCCCCACTACCATTACCCTGGGCTTTTAGTTACACAAACAAGTGAATCTTACTACCCAAGTTCCCAAGAGAAAAAAAAAAATCACATGTGGGACACAACACAACTTACAGTTCTGGTTAATTTATAAATATGTACATTGAAAAAGAGTTGGAGTGCTCTAATGAATAAATGCATTAGATTTGGGATAAAAAAAATCCCACGTGATTTTTACAGAGAAAACTAATAAATAAAAGTAAGTGAATACTTACCTCAAAATTCTTATGTGCAGACATCCCACCAAATTGAAGTGGCAGTCCCATACTTCGCATGAGTTCAGTTTCAGAATCAAGTTCACTTTCATCTGGGTCTATGCCTTTGCTATCACATGATTCTTTATTATCATGGAAATCACAACTTTCCTCCTCTTCTGTTGCTTGATCTCCTATAGATAGCATTTGTTAAGTTTAGAAAAAATTTAGATGCAGGTTTTATTGTCATTTTAATGAAGAAAACCAGAGTTATTACATGCCTTGCCCAAAGGTGTATAATTGTTACAATTTTTAAGGGGAGAGAAGGGAATTGATGAACTAGTAAAATATGACCAACTAAGAATAAAGAGACAATTTCTAGTCTGGCTCTGCCTACCAGGACCAGTTAGCTGCCCATTCAACTTATACTTCTTGAGCCTCTCCTTTGTGCTGGGCATTGTGCAGAGTACCGAGGCTATAAAAAGGAACACAGCAGAGTACCCTTGAGGCAAATTATTACATTTTGATATTCCTTCTCTGCAATATTATTGCACTGGATCAGTGGATTTAAAAGGATGACTTGTGGAGTTCTTTTAGGAGCTGCTAATAAGAGAGGTGAGAATTATGGCCCCTCATGGGTACTTCAATCACAACTGGATTGTTTTGTTTCTGCATCTCCTCTATAAATATGCTTCTAGTTCATCTTTGGAGTGCTCCTAATCACCTTTGGTTAGGTGCTGCCCCATGTGAATGTACGTAAGTTCAAATAAAATCTGAAAACATTTTAATATGCCTCCGTTTAGTTTTTAAAACAATAAATTTCTACTTTAGGAACTCTGTGTTCTCTACTTTTCAAAGTCTCAAATTTCAGGTTGCTTTTATCAATTCAGGAAGGAATGCTACACGGGGCAAAGGAAACCACCTCAACTCCATATAGGAGTTTGCTGTAAGAAATGTTATGCTTCAATAGGGATTCTAGAACCACGCTATAATAAAAAATGACTCTATGATTACAGAATATTTTTGCCACATGATATTTTATGCTAAGAAATTAATACAGTCTTTATAACAAAATATAATGAATATAGTGTATGGTTAATTTTAGCAAAAAAGGACTATATAGTTTATACTGTATTACCTGCACCGTTGCCATTGTCTTTAACATAGTAGCCTTTTAATCCCAAATTGCACAGTTTTCGATCTCTGTTAAGCAAATTAAACAGTCAGTAGTAAAAAAAAAAAAAATTAAGTTATAAATTTAGAGAAGAAACTATTTCAAAGCAACATAGATTAATAAAAAGTTTAAGGATAGAAAAAACAATATGCTAATATATTTTCCTAATTTGTAATATAGAAATAATAATGCACCAAGCCTTTATCCTATCTAATAAGAGTAATATGCAGATTGACCATCACTCCAACACACAATATGGCTGCCTGCATGTGGTCAAAGATCCTGACCCCATGTGGACACAAGATGGCCATCACAAGATGGCAGCAGGGGAGGGCAGTCGGGAGAGAACAGGCCTGGAAGGAAGAGCAGTTGAGGGTGATCAGGCAAGCAAGGGAGGGCAGTTGGGGGCGATCAAGCCTTCAGGGGATGGCAGTTAGGGGTGACCAGGCTGGCAGAGGAGGGAAATTGGGGTCAAACAGGTTGGCAGGGGAGCAGTTAGACATCAATCAGGCTGGCATGGGAGTGTTTAGGCCCGTAGGGGTGTCGAACTCAATCAGAGAAGGGGCCAAAATCTAAAATCCAGCCTAAATCTCGGGCCGAATGGTTTACTGAACAGTCATAAACTGTCATTGTGATGGAAACGCAGCGGAGTGCAGTGATGACAGCGCGGTGCGGGCCACATTGCAAGGCCTGGCGGGACGGATTTGGCCCGCGGGCCTTGTGTTTGACACATGTGGTTTAGGGGGTGATCAGGCTGGTAGGCAAGTGGTCAGGGGCGCGATGAGGCAGGCTGGCAGAGTGGATCAGGCAGGCAGGCAGGCAAGCAAGAGGTTATGAGCCAGTGGTCCCAAATTGCAAGAGGGATGTCTGACTGCTGGTTTACTGGATCAGGCCTAAACCAGCAGTTGGTCAGCCCCAGAGGGGTTCCAGATTGCAAGAGGGTGCAGACCAAGCTGAGGGACGACCACACCCCCTTCGCTCCTCCCCCTGTACATGGTCTCGTGCACTGGGCCTCTAGTCTAATATAAAGAAAACCATCTTCAGAATTCAATTCTTTAGGCACTTCTCCCTCCCTCAACTAGCTATCTTACAGGTACAGCAATTTTTACCCCAAACAAATATTTCCCCCAAATAGAAGACAGCTCAAAAACGACTGTAATTATAGTTAAACCTTTTACCTCACTAGTAATGTTAATGTGAATTGGTGCTTTAATAAATCTTAAGGTTTTAAAAAAAAGACGTTATCCAAAACAAGCTACTTTAAACCTTTACCTTGTGATGTCATTCATATCCACTAACGGGATTTCATTTTACACTTCACTTTCCCCCAATTTTAAAATGTCCCCGCCGTTTACAAACATAAAATGACATATATCAACTACATTTTTTCATTACAGCCTACACAGGTTTACTCATACACTTAATGGCAGAGACCACCACTCTGTAAAGTCTGTGGATTTTACCTTTTTCTTCCCATGTTTTTATTAACTTCAGAGAGAGTTAAAGGGAGAGACAGAAACATCAATGATAAGGATGATGGATGGGCTGCCTTCTGCACGACCCCCCCCCCCCCCGCCCCACTGGCGATGGAGCCCACAACCGGGGCACGTGACCTGACCCCAATGGAACCGAGACCCCTCAGGTTTATTGGTCGATGTTCAACCCCTGAGCCACGCCACGCAGGGCTCCCCCCCCCCTTTTTTTAAAATTTATTTTATTGATTTTTTACAGAGAAGAAGTGAGGGATAGAGAGTCAGAAACATCGATGAGACAGAAACATCGATCAGCTGCCTCTTGCACATCCCCTACTGGGGATGTGACCGCAACCAAGGTACATGCCCTTGACCGGAATCGAACCCGGGATCTTTCAGTCAGCAGGCCGACGCTCTATCCACTGAGCCAAACCGGCCTCGGCAGGGCTCCCCTTTCCCAAGAGCCAAATACTCTCTCTGGCCGCGGTTCCAGGGACCCAGTACAACTCGTCTGCATCACCGACATTCCTGGGGAAAACACTCGTGCGAAGGGAGAGGGCAAAGTTTTTACTTACTCGACAAATGCCCGCGAGCAGAGGCACAGGATCTTGTAATCCTCCTCCAGGTCTTCAATGAAGAGAAACATCTCGGCCACGTGGCTCCACTTCTCGCAGCACATTTTCCCGCTCAGAGGACACAGCTCCGCGGTCCACGGGGCCGGACCGCCTCCGGGGCCTCGGCCGGGTCCTGGGGACCGAAGGGAGGCCTCCGGGCGGTGCGCCGATGGGGTGCGGGGCCGGGACCGAGCCGGGGACGGAGGAGCCAGATAGGAAGCCGCCGCCGCCGGAAGTGGCTCGGTGGGCGCCGGAAGGGGCGGGGCGGTGCGACGGGCGGGGTCATACTCATCGCCGCCGCCGCCGCCGCCGCCGCCGCCGGGGTTGTAGCTACTTTTTAGCTTTTTCCTCGCCGGGTTGCTGGCGAGACACCGGCTGCTCCAACGTCTTCGCTTCCTTTAGCCACTGAGCCACCGAAGAGCTGCCGCTACGGTTCGAGGGTGAGGTCGAGCCGCCTCTCTCCTCTTTTCCCCCCTCGAGGTGCGTCGACCCCCGCCTGGGTCTCCCCGGGCTCCTCCCGGCCCGGCCCCTGCGGAGCTGCCCCGAGTCCGCGGCTGGGGGGCGCGGGCGGGTGTGCTTGCCGCCGGCCGGGGAGGCCCCGTCTGGGCCACTGCACCCTCATTCACCCCGCTCCGCGTCTCCCCCAGCGCCCCGAACCCCCCCAGCTCGGCGTGCGCGGTGGTAGTGATGGGGCGCGGCGTCTCCAGACTCCCTGGAGGCCTCTGGGCGTGCCCAGGGACTTCCCCGATTCTGGGATCCGAATCGACACCTTCATGTGCACAAAAAAGCTCGTAGTGATCAGAGTGCGGTTGGGAGGCCGCGTGGGCAGTGACTGGGTAAGAGGGCTCGCCGTGGACAGAGTCATGCTTGGCATCCTGGTTTATGTATGCCCCTTTCTCTACGTGTGTGACCCGGGCAAGCGGCTTCACCTCTTCTTGGATCCTCATTGGGATCATTCTGATGCATAGTACCTGCTTCCTTGGACTGGTATTTTTTTTTTTTTTTTGGGGGGGGGGGCGGGGAATGAATGAAAGGACTAAGTCAGACCTCACACGTGTGGTATATGAATAGTTTGAGTGGGTACCTAACTATGTCGGCGCCCGGCACTGGCTGGGTCCCTCGGGTTTGCAGCCTGTGAACCAAGCCTCAGCGCTCCTGCTGCTGATTACCACGAGAAATGCACGTGCGCATAATCAGATGCAAAAAACGGGAACACCTTTGCCCGATTTGTCAGAAGCAGTTGGTGTTTGGTGTGGGGTATGGGTTGAGACTGCCCAGGCAGCTTCCCCAGGGAAGCTGGGGGGGAGAGGAGAGGGAGGGCCTAAGGCTGTTGGAGCACTTAGGACTTGGTCTGTGCTATTAATTGGCATTTCTTCAACCGGTGTGCTGCAAGCATTTTTAAAACATGCAACGGTCAGGGGCAGTGACCTTCCTTAACAGCCAACGCAACGATTGTGCCTTGTGTGAATGAATCAAAATGACTGTATACCTATTTTATTTTGTCAGATCTGCAAAAAAAATTAATTTTTGGTGTGCTCCAGAATTTTAGTAAGTAGTTTATGTCTGCCAAGAGATGAAAAAGGTTGAAAATTGCTGCTTTAGAATATATAAAAAATGATGTAAAATCCAGACATTTATAGCATCGCTGATGTTTCGGTCCCATTTACTAGTGAATGGAAAGAGGAGATTAATTTTTAAATTAAATGTCTATTCCCATATCCTTACTGCTGCCTTGCTTTGATGTCAGAGATGTGTTTATTTAGTGACTCAAGGATGTAAGTTATATTAGGTCTAGTAATAATTAATGTCGTTTTCTAATACTTTTTTAAATCGAATTTATTTAAACAATACAACAAAATTTAATCAACAATATAGTTGCCGTTGTTTTCTACTACTTGTGCCCAACGCTCAGGAAGCATTTTAATCCCTCTGCTGTAAAATTCTTGTGATTTTGAGGCAAAAAATTCGGTCAATGCATTTTTGAGGCATTCTTCATTATTAAATTTTTTTCCAAGAAGAAAGTTTTGCAAAGAACGAAACAAATGGTAATCGGAAGGGGCAATATCAGGAGAATATGCAGGTTGAGGGAGAACTTCCCATTCCAAGTGGCACAGTTTTTCAGCAGTGATTCTTGCAGTATGCGGTCGTGCGTTATCGTGGTGAAGAATTACGCCCTTCCGATTAATCAGCGCGGGTTCTTTTTCTCTTAAAGCTTGGGCTAACCTTTCCAATTGGGCACTATACACTGCACTTGTAATGGTTTGGTTAGATGGTAAAAGTTCATAATGAAGAATTCCTTTAAAATTCCACCAAACACACAACATCACTTTTTTCGCATGCAAGTCAGGTTTTGGCGTGGGCTGCGGAGCCTCATTTTTGTCCAACCATTGAGGCTGCCTTTTCAAATTAACATACAGCACCCATTCTTCATCTCCGGTAACAATTTGCTCTAAAAACGGCAAACGGTTTTGACGAGAGAGGAGCGAACTGCAAATTGTGACTCTTTGATTACGGTTGTTGTCGGTCAACTCATGAGGAACCCATTTTCCAAACTTTTGGACTTTGCCAAGTGCACGCAATTGATTGGAAATTGTTTTTTGTGAACAATTTAAAGTTGTCGCAAGCTCTTGTTGGGTAATTTGAGGATTTTACACCAAAAGAGCTTGAAGAGCTTCTTGATCAAAATTGGACACACGGCCTCGACCACTCTTGTCATCTAACAAAAAATTTCCCTCGCGAAATTTCTCAAACCAACGCTGGCATTTTCTGGCGCTAACTGCATCTTGACCAAGAGCACTACAGATGTTTTTTGCAGCCTCACTTGCTTTTCTTCCTAATTGGAACTAGTAAAGCATGCAGTGCCGAATATGCTCTTCATCTGCCATCTTCTTAGCCCTAGTTTTGCAACAAAAATCAAACCAAACACAAACTTTTTCAAGCAAAACTTGTTAATTGCACTTCACACGTTCTATAGATACCACGTGTTTGAAGGTTATGTCAATACAAGTCAACGCCAAGCAAGATTTTAAACGAATGTTTAAAAACGACGTTAATTATTACTAGACCCGATAGTTACAGATATCCTTATCCCAAAAATGTTGCACATCTACCACTGAGCCAAGCTGGCTGGGCCCACATTTTGTTAAAGATGTGTGGCTTAGTTAGTTGAGCATCATCTCATGCACCGAAACATTGCTGGTTCAATTTTTAGTCAGGGCATATGGCTTGATTTTTAGTCAGGTTGTGGCTCGATTCCCACCAGGAGGTGTGTAGGAGGCAACTGATTGATGTTTCTCTCTCTCTCTCCCACTTTCCCTAAAAACATTAAAAAAGTGAAGATGTGGATGAACACAGTTCTGATCTTTTTTTCTTTTTTTTCTTTTTTTTTTTAATATTTGTTTATTTCAGAGAGGAAGGGAGAAATCAATGATGAGGATCATTGATTGGCTGCCCCCTGCACACCCCCTCCTGGGGATCAAGCCCACAATCCAGGCACCTACCCTTGGCTGGAATCGAAGCTGGGGCCCTTTAGTCTCAGGCTGACACTCTATCAAATGAGCCAAACCGGCTAGGGCAGTTCTGATCTTTCTATAGCTGGCGGGCATCTTTTAGGTTGTGCCAACTATGTGTGAGTCATATTGTTCTAAGTGCTTTACGTATGTTTTCTCATATAACCGTCTATTTTGTTTACTTATTGATCCTAGCGTTTACAACAGTGTCTAGCACAACCACTGCTTTGATAAATATTTGTTGAGTAAAGTAATAACCCAATTATGTAGGTATTTTGGGCCACCCCTTTCTTGTACATTATATTCTATCCCCTCTGGCCTAGCCTAGTACTGGACCCAACAGTTCTCTTCTGTGTCATCCACTTCTCACTCTCTCACTGATGCATTGTCATTGGTGTTAAAAACTGCTGTTATTTTTCTTTCATCTTAAAACAACAGACTTGATCTGCATTACTCTCTAGATATCTACTTGTTTCTCTGTCCTTATCTGTAACAATATTCCTCAGAAGAGTTGACCGTATTTGCTGTCCTCCCAATTTAGTCACTCCCATTTTTTTCTTGAACTTATTCCAGCTAACCTTCATCCCCACTATATCAAAACATTTCTTATCAGAACTTTCCAATGCCTCTTTGTTGTAAAATCCATTGATCAATTATTCTTAGATTTCTCAGCATCATTTGAAACAGCTGAGTACTCCTTTCTTCTTGAAACACTTTCTTACTTTCACATCCAGGACGCCACTCCTAGAAGGAGGATGCTGGTTCCTCCTTGACTTGCCAAATTCTAAAATGTTGAGTGCCTCATAGCTCAGTCATGGAAATTCTTTTTTATTTTATATTTACTCCCTAAAGGGACATTTAGTTTCATGGTTTTTCAATACTGCCTGTATGTTGCCGATTCCTAGGTATAATTCTGGAATTATATCTTCCTTCTGCACTCTGCATATATCCTGCTGCTTATTTAATGTATTCGCTCGGCTGTCCAGAAGAATCTTAACATGTTCAAAACTGAATTCTGGATCTTCATCCCACCCCCAAACCTGTTCTTTCTGCACTCCTATCTCTCACAAGTAAGCTGATGATGATAGCAATATTTATTTAGTGCTTACATATTGGAAGGCACTCTTCTCAGCTTTTTAAAAAATACATTTTATTGATTTTTTACAGAGGAAGAGAGAGGGATAGAGAGTTAGAAACATCGATGAGAGACATCGATCAGCTGCCTCTTGCACACCCCTCACTGGGGATGTGCCCGCAACCAAGGTACGTGCCCTTGACCTGGGACCCTTCAGTCTGCAGGCTGACACTCTATCCACTGAGCCAAACTGGTCTCAGCCTGCTCAGCTTTTTAATATACAGTCTTCATAACAGTCTTATTAGGTAGGTACTGTTATTACCTCCACTTTACAATTGGAGAAACTGAGGCAGAGATTTTAAGTAACTTGTCTATGCATACCAGTAAGTGGCAGTGGCTCCCAGAACACAAATCCATTTTGCCCAAAAACGGTGTTGTCCTCTCAGACTTCTGTTTCTCACTCTTATTCTATATCTAGTATTCATCAGCAAATCCTCTTGGCTTTATCTTCAAAATATATCCAGAACTGGATTATCTCTTATGACCTTTACTCTGCCACACTGTCTAAGCCACTTTCATCACTCATCTCAGTTATTGCAATAGCTTCCTATTTGCTCCCTGTATATTAATAGTATATTCTTAACTCAGCAGTC